ATGTGTGAGCATACATGCTGTCTTACTGTGTTCCCCAGACAGGGCCCTCGGCTTTCATCTAAGCCTGTTTGTCAGCACTAGTGTTTTTTAAATTCTTCCATACTTTTAGGACATTAGAAAGGTGAGGACTCCCCTTTTATCATAATTGCATTAAGGTTCAGGAAGTTAAAGAAAAAAATATTATAGAATCCCAGCTCTGCCACTCACTGTTGGCTTGTCTTTGGTGAGAGACTTAACCTCTCTTTTCCTTGGTTTTCTCATCTTTAAAATGGGGATAATACTACCTCATAAGGCTGTAATGCTTGAACTAGGTGATGAATATTAGCACTTAAGAGAGTGACTGAACATTAGCACTCAGTGAATGGTTGCAGATGTTATGATTTGGAGTGAGATTTAATTCGGTCTCTTGATAGAAAGTATGGTCGGAGTGTATAACATTTGAGTGGAAAATGTTTGGCTCACTCTTCTTAATATAAGTTGGGAATTAAAATGCAGCTATTTTATATCATGAATGTAGGCATTGGGGCATGTTGTATACTGTTTTCCAGATGAATTAGGTACCTAAGTACCTCCTTGTTCTTGCACTTTGGATTTTAATTTTGCAAAATTTGCTAGAAATAATCTTCATTGGAAAGAAGGAAGAAAAAGGAGGAAGGGAGGAAATGAGAAGGGGGAGGTGATTTTTTTCTTTTTTCTTTAAGAATTTGGGGGGAAGGGATTTTTAAAAAAGAGCCTCTTTAGCTATCATCAGTACAATTTTTAAAAGAGGTCATTTTTAAAATGCTCATTTCTCATGATCACGTTAATCACCTACCACAGCCAGTGGTACCAAATCCTTAGAGAGTTTTCACAAAGTCTCCAAACTGTGTCTGCCAAGTCACTTGCCATTTGTTTTGTTCCAGAAGGAAATGTGAATTTTTGCCTTCCAGAGACATTTCATATTTGAACAAAACCCACGATATGGCAGTTAGCTTTAGGCCTGAAAATTCAAATTTGATTCGTTCCAGCAGGTCTCTTGATGAATAAAAGTAATGCACCAATAATCCATTGGGCCTCCCTCTCTCTGCTCTCTGCTCTCCCCCACCCCCTCAGGTAGGCCCTATTCTGCAGTCAGGCTTCTAGTTTGTTTTGGTTTAGTTTTCTCTTGTTCCTTTCTTGTGCATATTTTTATTCCACCTATGAATGAAATTATCTGGTATTTGTCTTTTCCTTCTGACTTATTTTGCTTAACATCATCGGCACCAGTTCCATCTGTGTTGTTGCAAAGGACAAGATTTCATCTTTTTGATAGCTGGGTGGTGTGCCATTGTGTGTTGGATGTGGTGTGTGGTAACACACATCTGAGAAGCTGAACTGGTACCCCTAAATCATATGCAGTTTTGTAAGCCAGCATTAGCTCAATAAAAAATAATAGAATTAAAAAAGTAGTCAGTGAAATACCACTATGGATCTGAGGGGAAAACAAAACTTTAAGACCAGGAAGAAAGAAAATTGCAGTATTGACAATTATTTTTTTATAATTTTTAAAAAGATTTATTTATTTATTTATTTATTTATTTATTTATACAAGCACTGGGTACAGTCAGAAGCGTGGGAGGGTGAGAGAATTCACCAGAGCCAGAGCAGGAAACAGAACAGGCAGACTGACAAAACACACTGCTGAGGGGAGCAGCGGGTGCGGCAGGAGAGGTCTGTTGCTCCATGTGGGACCCTTGCTGGCAGCCGGGAATTGAACGGGCGCTGCAGAAGCTGTGGGCAGTCTCGCCTCGCACGCAGCCCAGCGCCCAACCGCTGCGCCACCAGGGAAGGCCCACATTATTGACAATTATTTTTAACAAGCAAGATAATAGTTATAGACTATGTCCTGTGTACTCAGTCTCTCATTTGGAGCAGGAAAATGGACAATGATGGGAGAGGGGTTGTAAATAAAGGGGAAGTAAAACACCCAGCAGGTGGAGGGGTCCGTGCGATGAGACTTGTTTCCTAGGACTAGGAAGAAAGGATACTGATAGCAGAGCAGGTAAGGACAATCCTAAATGGTCTGGTTTTCAGACACTTTAGAATTGAACAATGAAGACAGAAAAAAATTTTGAGACATAAATGACATGGAAGTTAATATCAGAGGTGTTGGAGACATAAGATGAGGTATCTCAAAGGTATATAAGTCAAAGTGGAATCATTTAGGCTTATTGCTTATTTCCAGGCTGTCTCTTCATTTTAGGTTCTGCATCTGATTTGTTAGGAAATGCAGTATTGGGTTTTGCTATAAAGGAATAGAAGTTAACTTTTATTTTAATCCCCTCTATAAAAGAAAAACATCCTTCTACATCTTCCTACCTCCTTTAAAGGACAGAACATTGAAAGTAGCCCTCTGAAGCTGGAACTATTTCTGTTTGAGATGCACTTATCCTCTTAATGCATTTTACCTGATACGAGCCCAGGAGAGGGCTTTAGAGTAGGATTTGTCCTTGTATCTCCCAGGGCCCAGTGAAAGCTACAAGTTACTAGCAGATGCCTCAGGTACAATAAACAGTTTCAACCCAGGATAGGAAAGCTCAGTGCCCACCTCTCCTTCCCACCAGTCTGCATGGAGGCTCCTGTCTGCTTGAGTTGGTTTCCCTCACCAAGCAGAAGGTTCTCTTGGTCTCCAGAGAGCATCATGGATTCTCTCATGGATCTCCACCCTCTGGGGAGATTCTCCTTGCTTCTCAGGAGCATGCCTACCCCACCATTTTCCAGCCCACCAACTCTGATAACCAAGATTCCTCTGATGATCGGGGTGTAATGGAATGTCCCTGGGACTGAACTGAAGTGTGTCCCCACCTTATCTGCATGCAGAAGCTGTGTTCTCTTGCTAGGACAGTGCTTTGATCAGATTTCCACTGAATCCTTTTAGAGACAGAGTTTCCTAGCATAGGTTTTCTCAGGATTCAAGATGGACGCCTTGGCCAGTCAGTTTGGATAGCAACAATTTAGCTGTGTCCAAACAGAACAGAGTCAAAACCTACCAGGGGATACATTTGTCTTCTGAGTTAGGAGGAAGCCCAATTCTTCAGTAGTTCTGAGATGAAATGCCCTTTCCTAACTAACACTGTATCTCCAGAACTCCCACCAGTCAGAAGTGGCCAGCTATTAGCCATTTATCAGAGTGGAGCCACTATTTGTTTCAAGGTTTGGAGAAGTACCACCATGAAATGCCTAAATAAGTGAAAATGCTCAGGACTTTCTGTTCCCTCCGTGACATCAAAGGTCCCTTTCAGGCATGACTTTTGTGGTTCTTCCGGGAGAGAAAATGGCAGAAATAGGCTGCAGAGATGAGCAGGCATCTGCTAATAACTACACAAATAACTACCATCTGCAAACTGCATGGCTATGGCTGGGTCAGTAGTCCGGGGAGCACTCCCTGTGTGTCACCTCTGTGAAAGTGGTCATGTCACCCCCATGCAGCCTGTCCTAGTGGGCCAACAGCTTCCAGGACCCCCATGGCACTGACACCCCCACTGCTGCTTTCTTGGAGGGGACGCTCCATTCTGAAGTCAGGGGACGCTGCCCGGAAAGTGCACTAACCAGACCGTCACCTTCAAAATAAACCCAAATTGGCTCTAGTTCTCTCCCCCTGCTTTGTTTGAACCATTTTAAATCATTTGGTTCTCTACTCAATTATATTTTCCAGCAGTATGTTTATTTCTAGCCAGACCGGAAATAGAACATGAGTTGGGGACTTTCTGAAACAGGAACCTAATTATTTTTCAAGTTGTCTTTCCTTAATTTTCTGTTTGGCTGGTGGGAACATTTATAGATTATTGGATGTGTTTACCCCTGTGCCTTACTTGGTCCTATTTACAAAAACCATAGAAGAAAAATCACTTTTTTTCCTTTAGCTTTTTTCTAATACTTGTATTTTAGTCTTTTCGAATGGCATAAAAATATAGGCAATCACAGTAACACAGTTACTTCCTGATTTTCACTGTGCACTGAGCAGGGAGCCAAGCATCCGACCTCCCTGACCTAGTGAGACCTCAGGAGACCCTTCGAGGCAGGTGCTATTGGCATCTTCTTTTACCATCCCATAAAGTTAATGAAGAGACTCCAGTTTACATCATCAGTACAGAAATATTGGATCAAATAATACCTCAAGGGGATTCAGATAGGTGACATATTGTATTAAAATTTCAAAACTCGGTTTCGGTGTTATGACTTTTGAGTGGTTTGCATTAAACTGAGAATTCTCATACTGAGTCACAACCAGGGTTTGATATGGCTAGTGTTTGGCCTCGGGGGCCAGTGCTGTGCTTTTGCAGAATAAGAATATGTCCTTAATGTGGTCACCTCGAGGGTCAGGAATATGGTCCCATCTCATGAAAGTTAGGTAATTCTTTCTCCATGGCCTCAAAGTCCTTTCTCAGGACTTTGTTCGATAGGCTCGGATGCCCTCAGGTGTATTACAGAATGTTTGTGTCTTTCATCACCCACCCCTGGAAGACATGCGCTCCACGTGGGCTGGCCCGCCCCTTTCCTCATCTCCAAAGTCCAGTGCTGGGCACACGTCAGACATACAATGAATGTTCACTGTAATTTTAAATGCCCTAACCATCTTCATTTATTTTAGAAATGATTTACATATTCATGAATGCAGTTACCTCTGAGGCTCACTGTTATTTGTATCACATCTTTTTTTTAATTTTATACATTTTTTACATCGTTTTTCATTTTTGCACAATGTATGCATTTTCATCTTGGTTATAGTCTCCATACAATTCCCACCCTGCCTGTTTTAATCCTTTTCCCACCTCCTCCTCCCTCCCCACCGTAGTGTGTCTCTGGTTTATAGTTGCTTGTTGATTTTAACAAGGAGTGTCAGTTTACTCTCTGTGGGGTAAAATGGTGCTTTCTTTTATCTGTTGTAAAAAAGGTTTCCTTCAAATTTCCTGGTGTTAAAATAACAACATGTGAAAGCAGTGTCTTCCCTTGTTTGTTTTTGAATGATTCCTGTTTTTCAGGAAGGTGATGTCTGGCCTAACTCATCAGTTGAAATCATTGTGTACTTTAACCCTCTGGAAGCCAAGCTCTATCAGCAGACTGTTTACTGCGATATTTCAGGTAAAGACTTCCTCTGTGTGATAAACTCAGGTTATGAGGCACTCAGGGCAAAAGTGGGAAGGTGGGTGCTGGAGTGTGTGTGCATAATTGTTTGTGTTCTGGCTGTTGGTCACCTACGGTATCAATAGGGCAATAATTGAGTCAAGTTAAACACTTCTTTCTAGAACAGAACAAACTTCGGTGTACATTGCAATTTGTGGTATGTTGGGGAGGATGGGAAACTATGGGTCTGGGTTTCCATTTGATTTTTAGAGCAGAAAGAATATTACTTGAAATAAATTCTCACTATGTTATTTTTTGTTCTTTTTGCAGTATTTGACTCTGGAAATTTTTCTTATTTAAGTTTTAATCAAAATAATGCCAAGTGGGATGGGAAGGCAACCTGGCAGAGGCCAGAAGTGACAGGAGGGTGTATAGTAGGGTGGCAAGCTGATGGCTTCCAGGGACTGGATATGTAAAAAGGAATTAAGCAAATGTACCGAGGATAACAAGGGCTAGACATTTTTATTCTTGGAGGAAGAGATACAAATATGGAAAGGAGGAAGGCTCAGAGGAGCCCTTCGGTATTAGCATAGAATTGGAGCTATCAGATCTGAACTTATGGTTGTCGTTCTGTATAGATAGATGTAGAAAGAAATATATATGTGAGTGAGTGTATGTGTATATGTACATGTGTGCACATATTTCCTCACCATGTCCGTTGAGAAATCCTGGATGCTTTGAGGCCCTAATAATGATGTGCACAACTAACACCCCAAGTTTGGCTTCTAAATCCCACCCTCCATTAGAGGAAACCTTGGAGGACTGACTGATAGTTGAACCAAGACAGGGAAAGAGCAATATGAAAGGAGCATTCTTCTGTTTGTAAAGTAAGGAAATGCCCTAAGAATGACAGAGATAACACAAAGTGACACAGAAGCCATGAAAGGGACCCCCATGAACAAATTTGAAACAATTTGAGGATCAGAATAAATGATAATACCGATAGACCATAATCTATTGAATAAGTAGGCAATAAACCCAAGTTATTCTATGCAATTGTTACTTTCCTAGCCTCTCTCACACAAGTTCAAGAAAGCATTTTGCCAGAGTGGTTTTAGACACCTTGTATTTGGGATCTTGCTTGCTGAAGGTGGAAGCATGTGTTACTCAAAAACTTGTAATAGTGGCCCAGCACCCTGTCAACTTTTTTTCTCTCTTTCACCCACATGAACCTCAATCACAAGAGACTGAGTCTGTTTTATCTGACATACTGTTCAGGGATCTTTTATTTCTGCAATCAGTTTTTTCTGTTTTAGTAACATTGATTTGTGCCATTACACAGGTTTCCAGGTATACACACTTAAATATCAACATTTGTATATATTACATTATGCTCATCACCAAAAGTCTAGTTTCCATCCATCACCGTAAAATTGACTTCTTTTGCTCCATGTGCTTTTCCCTCTGGTAGCCATTTCTATAGTCATTTTTAATTTAATTTCCAAGACTTCTTTTGTTCTCTGTTCCTTTTTCATAACTAACTGTTCTTTTATGGTTGTTTCTTTTCAGATAGTAATTAGAACTTTTTAAAAACAACAATCGCTCGTGTTGTCCAAATTGTGCATTGTCAGTTACATTTCTCACAGGGTTCCTTCCAAGGTCTTCTGGTATGTGGTTGGCCATCTGTTTATAAGTCCATTTGTTTGTGGGTCAGTTTCCTGGCAGTGTGGCTGCAGTGATTACTTGATGGGGCAGAGGGTGAGTAATGACAGTACACAATTATTCAAGTCTCTCCAAGTATAAAAATTCTACTATTCTGCTATACCCAGATTGTTTTCAGGCATATCTGCTCAGTTAGTTTTCTCTGTGTAGGGTCAGGCAGTCTCAATAGTACAGAAGACTCTGCCTTCTCTCCCTGCCCTCAGGTGTGTGTACCTTCCAGTGATGTTTGTCTCACCTTCCCTGAATGTATCTATCACGTGACCCTGATGATAGTCCTTCTCGTGCTTCACATACAACTTTACCCACTGTGTACTCATCCCTAGGCAAAATGGTGTAGTTTCCCCTGTTTTAAAAATGTATACATTGGAATCACATGCCTTATCTTATGCTGTTAGTACCAGGAGGATTAAGTCAGTCAATAAATGTTGATTGAAAGAAGAGCGAATCCATGGGGAAGAAATGAATGGATGAATGAGTGAGTCCTAGTCTGATCTGGCCTCTCCCTTGCCTGTGAGTGTGGATTCGCTACACAAAATGAATGCAGAATGGAGTAGGAGTTTCTGGATTGATATAAGTCTGTTTCTGTACTGCAGCATCACACACCCAGACTCCTTAGTGAATCTGGAGGACTGTTGGCACATCAGTGTTCAGATGGAGGCTGGAAATACTCCAGGCGCCCCCGTGCCACAGGTGGTGGGACCTCCCTCCCATCAAAGGCTCCCCTGGGATGTCGTGCTTGGCCACCTTCCAGAGGGTTGGCTTCTCTCCAGGAGGTTCCCAAACATTACATAACTGGTTATATTTATCTATTGTTTCATTTGCAATTCTGAATTCTGCCACAGAATTCACATCCTGGATAAACTGAATAGTATAATTTTCCATCTGCGTGACATTTTTCTTTATTTTGTTAGTGGTTCATTAAAAGATAAGATTGCCAGAAAAGGGTTTTGTTTACATAGTAATTCCATGTTATCTTCCCTGTAAATTCCATGCAATTCTATGTGTCTTGTCAAGGACTGGTGATGTTGCCTTACTATTATCTTCAAAGGGTTGGTAAAACCTCCTGGTTTTAGGTCACTAAGAAATACTTCTTAAGCTGGAGGAAAAGCTCCTTCCCTTGGTTTTTTTTTTGTTATTGTTGTTTGATTTGTTTTTGTTTTCCTATATGCCTTGAGCATATAAAAGCAAGTACATGTCGGTAGACTTTCTCCTTGCACCTTTTTACATAAATGATAACATTCTTTACACATTGCAGATGATTCCATAATGCTAAAATGTGTCATTCTTTTTCATGGTCATATAGGAATCCTTTGTATTTACATGCCACAATTTAATTTTTCATCCTTTGTCCCTAAGAAGTAGTGACAAGTAAGTTCATAAATGCATATAACACATACTTGGTAGACAGAGTAATGATGGTCTCTCAAAGATGTCCATACCCTAATCCCAGAATCTGTGAATATGCTACTGTAGTTATGTTATATTCTAGTACATCATGGAATTCAGATTACCCACGAGCTGACCTTAAAGACGGAGAGATTACCCTGGATTCTGTGAGTAGCTCAATATAAGCACAAGGGTCCTAAAATATCAAAGGCATGAGGTGAAACAATCAGTGTCAGAGTAATAACATCTGAGACAGACTCCATCAGCTATTTCTGGCTTTGAACATGGAAGGAGCAAGTAATTCAAGAAGACCTCTAGAAAATGGAAGAGGCAAGAAAATGAATTTTCCCCTAGAGCCTCCACGCTTGACTTCTAGAACTTTTAACATAAGTTTGTATATTAAAGTGTACGAAAGCATGCTTCCTGCCCTCAGCAGGATAGATAACATCAATGGGTGCTTTCTGAGTCAAATGCAGAAATGCAGCATGTGGAAATGACTCCAGTAAACCCATTTCCTTCAGTGGCCCAATCAGGATGATGCCTCATTGTCCATTTCATGCCATACATGGCAAGATGGAAACATTAGCATTTTAGCACAACTTAGGTCTTAAATTTTATCCTAAATGAACTAAAGAATGGAGATTAAGGGAAAAGAAAGCTAAATCACCCTAATAATTAAAAACATTTTTGTGCTTTTACAACAATAAGTGGTGTAATATTCCACATAGCTGTAGGTTTTCTTAAGACTCATCAGACTATAAGCTCTATGAGGTTTCTTCCTTGTAAAATAAGAATTTATGTTCTTGATCAACTACAGTGCTTAAATTATATTTTCACTGCCCAAACATTCCAAGCAAAAATGCAGGGAATAATATACAAATATCAATGCATACATAATTCAGATTTAAGAAAAACTGAACAAATGCAAAGGTATCCCCTTACTTTTGGTCAGGTATATCAGTAGCATAGTAAATGCAGTGTGATCCCAGTGATGATGTCAATAAGGTGTTTTTTTTTTTTTTTTCAATTACACTGTGATTTCAGTTCTTTTGAAGGAAAAGTATAAACTAGGCTTGCTTAGAAAATACAGAAAAACAAAAATTATGTGAGAGGACTAGCTCTATCCATTATTAAAAAGCTATTGCAAATATAATTGTGCAGTTCTAGAACATGAAGAAAAAGTGGTTGTAAAATCGATGTTTGTTCCTTTCATCCTTACCACCTGTAGCAACAACAAAATAATAACCAACATGCTCAGATCCCCTAAACCCTCCCCAAATCCACATTCCCCAATGATATGTGAGCAAGATAAAGCCCTAAATTGCTTAAGCCACTTTGTTCTCTTTCTCTTGTGCTACATAACAAACCACCCTAAATTAAGTGGCTTCAAAGAACTGGTAAACATTTATTTTGATCCCAGGCCTGCTATTTGGTGAGGATTCATCAAGGACAGCTCCTCTCTCTTTTCTATATGGGGTCAGCTTCTCTTTGTGGCTCTTTGCTTCCTAATTGAATGGACAACGAACCAAAAATCTACTATCTTTTATATTAGGTTATCTTTTCTCTCAGATTGATAATAAGAATTATCCTAAGCTTTGGGCTTCTACAGTTTTATTGTGATGGAATTGCCTTTATTTATCCTACTTGGTAATTGATGTCCTATTCAATCTAAAAACCTTTTATCAGTTCTGGAAAATTCTCAGCAAATATTTCATTAATGTTTACCTCTCATTATTTCAATTTTGTCCTTCTGGAAATTCTCTTAGATATGTGTCTTCCTCATGGAATCACCATGTCTTTCAATCTCACCTTTACATTTTCAGTCTCTTTTTCTTGCTAATACTTTCCGGGTATTTTTCTAAGATCTTTTTTCTGGTTAACTAATTCTTTCTGGTTAACTAAATCTGTAT